ATCATCATCATCATCATCATCATCATCATCATCATTATTCATTAGACCGTCCTTTCCACCCACTCAGATGGAGAAGATTGACCCCGTGGAGCCCCGCTCACGCGTAGTTCTGGACGTCCGAGACAGCGGTCACCACGCCTGGCCGCCACAGACACAGACGGAAAGCCAGAGCATCGGCTGGTTCGCGGACAGCAGACGTCAGCATAGGTGTCGTCTCAGGGAGTGGCCCGCCTCTTACAGTTTCTGCTGAGCTCATCAGCATCAACCTGTCTCGGTGGTTTTATGCACCCCGCATAATTTAGCAAAATTTGATCTTTTTTTGGGTGCATAATTTCTGATTATTTTCCTGTACCAGTCTTTGTTAAAATTAACAGAATCGCATAACTTCACATTTCTGGGCTCAGTTTGCATAATTTGAGAATTTATTTTTTACATAAAACCGCGGGGACAGATCAACGGTGCCGTCTTATGACAGAAAAACGTTTGATAATATGCCAAAACTGAAATTTTGCAAGAGAGCCAAAACATTAACGTTGTGCGTGCGTGCATGTGTGTGTGTGTGTGTGTGTGTGTGTGTGTGTGTGTGTGTATTTATGTGTGTGTGTGTGTATGTGTATGTGTATGTGTGTGTTTGTTTGTGCGTGCGTGTGTGTTTCAGCTTAACTAAAATGTAGTCGATCTAACATATTATTTTTCAAAAGCCCAAAACTTTCTTAATTTTAATTGTACAGCCATAAAACCAAGATAGAAAGACACGCAAGAATAGGGCTTTCACCCCTGAAGAAAAACGCTACTTGACGTAATCACGCATATATACGTTTTTTATCATAAGGCAGCAGAACGGTGGGTAGACAGTTGACACCAGGTCATTCAAATTGTCAGATCTGTCTGATCGGATGGAGTCGAAACAGAAAAAAAAACGGACCAGCCATGCACTGTTGTCATTAAAAAAACTTGACCCCTGAAACAATTCATTCAATCTCTATGAGCAGTGTTGGTTCAGATTTGTGATTGTTTTTGTTATTTGTTATTTTGTTGACTGCTGTAAAAGAAAAGAAAGAGATTGAACCGATCTGTAAGAGCAACGTTCGTTCAGATTTAGCTTACAAAAGAAAATAAATGAGTAAATATATAAATAAATAAATAAATAAATAAAA